CGTTTAATATGACGAACGTCTCACTGCAAACAGCCCCTTCTCTTTGGAATCTTTGCTTAGTGAGTTTGGATCGTATTAAATTGTGTTCATACTTTGCGACTAGGCATTTTGGGACAAACAGCTTTTTGAGCCGAGTTTGGGAGAATCTGGGCGCCGATCGATACCTATACTATCCCTTTCGCTCATCGATACTTATACTATCCCTTTCCCTCATCCATACCTATACTATCCCTTTAGCTGCCGATTCTCCCAAATCGCCCATTTACTGGAAGCTGCAACTCTCCCGAAACGCCGGGTCGCAAAGAAAGCAGAATCACCAAGAAAGCTTCAGGTGCGCGCACTGGGAGCACTGCTGAGATATCTAGATTCGGCTCGCATCGGGGTTGAATTCGAACCGCTCAATGTCCGCACACCCGTCACCTCTATCAAAACAATAGTCGTGTAGGTTGAAGGATTTCTATCAGTTGAAAGCATTTGTGTCCTTCAGTGCTTCTGTGAACGTGCGAAAAATCTGATTTTCAGGGACGAAATGGTCGAAATTGATAAGGCTACATATTATGCTCTAGATATTTTTGCAGAAAATAAGAAAGCCGAGGTATCTCGCTCGTGACTCTTTTGTAGATTTAGCTCGTATAATTATTGTGAATGATGTATTTTCCCTAATTCTTTGTCTAATGTGCTAAACGTTATTCAGAGAAGCTATCGTCACGGCGCCATTCGTCCGCATTCTGCTGTGTCCCTGTTCAGCCTGTGCAACAGATGTAAATCCGGTGTTGGAAAAAACACACTCAGGTTTGCTCGGGCCTTCCAAAACATATTAGAGCTACAGTCTGATCCGCTGTGGATGAAAGAGCGTGTCAGGGGGAATGTGTTTGCTGCGGTGCCAAACCCGTTTTTCACTAACTGTTGAAGCGAGCAAGAGGCGAAACCATATCATATAGTTCGTATCAGTCGTTCTTCTTCAACTGTTGCCGCTGTCCACCCTAAAAAGTGATACAGAACGAGTTTCCCCAAATCCATCTCTCCTGACCCGCCCCCTCATCCGCTGCGAGCAAGACTGTGCCTGTTGTGATTAGTTCTTTTTGGACGAGTAAACTTTCATTTGTTTCATTGTTGAACCAGACTACGTCATTTTTCTCTTAAGAATTTATCTTTCCTTAGGCAGCGTTCAGACTTCGCGATAGCAGCGCTTCGGTCGCGCGTTCGACGCGATCGATGCAGTCGAAAGCATGCGCATCGATCGTCGAATCGCGCGACCGAAGCGCTGCCGAAGTCTGAACGCTGCCTAAAGGCAGTTGGCACGATAAATCCCCAAGACGAGTAGGATTAATACGCCTGGCAGGACGGAATTCCGCGACCCTGAGCAGGCGCTGCATAGCGCCTTTCCCAAGGAAGGTACCCTTATAAGGGCCCTATCAAGCAACATAACGACCCGAACGCCCTCCACGACCACCCGCCCATAAGTGGACGACCGTACCTCGTATTGCTTCGTTTGCCAAGTAAAATGTGAAGCAAAGGATTGGTATGAAGCAGCTGTGGTGCTGCATGGATATATGAGTACATACGTGCAGCCGTACCTACCGTAGCGGTTATTGGCAAGATGCCTACGGGAAACTCGTCCAAAATTGCTTTTTGAGTCATTAGAACGAAGGCTTTTCTTCGCAGGTTTTTGACCGTTTCACTTCGTTTTTCGCCTATTTTCCTACTATATAGCGCCCTGCTAGCATTTTAGGCCGAGTACCAAATTATCGTGCCAACTGCCTTTAACTGTTTTGTGAATGAACTCAACCTTAAAAAGTTAGTGGCTCTTTCAATATCGTGCGAAGCATGAAGCCATCAAACTATTTCAAGCACTGCTTTGTTGAAAACGAGAGACTTTAAAATACGGAAACTAGGCTTCAATTGAGTTTGTATTGTGACTCTATTTTTCTGAACACTCGTTTTTTAGGAAGTGGTTTGAGAGACCTTCTACAAACCAAGACCTTCTCAGCAGTCGGCAAAAGGCAGTATCGTATTTTCTGCAGGTACTGTGGCAGTCGTTTCTTTCCCTGAGCTATTTCTTAGTATCTTAGGCTGCGTTCAACCTTAGCGTAGCGTTTTGAGCGTTTCGAACTATTAGGTAAGTATAAGTATTGATCCGGCCCACGGCAGCGTTTTGAGTGAATGTTAAAGTATAGATGTCGATCTAGCGCTTTCAGTGCATGCCAGCGTTTTCGGCGATGCCCGGAAAATGTTCAAAAGAACCCGTGAAACAGTCAAACCCTACCGTACGCTCTAACTGCTAGATTGATTCTATGCTTTCCTAGTCGCTCGAAACGCTGCTGTATGGTGGCATATGCTGGCGTACGCTCAAAAGGCTGACGCAAAGTATGAACGGAGCATTATGTGACGTATCTCTGGAACATTTTGATCAAAAAGTAATGCCTTATTGTTCTAGGACTGCAATCTAGACATCACTGCAAAAATCTACGGTCTCCTAGGATCCATGAGGAGCATGAAGGTACGTAAAAGAGAATTAAGTATAAGCACTACCATTCATATGCAGTTGTTGGAGTTGAACTGGAATCGCACATTCAGTATATTCTAAACCGTCTGAGATCTGGTACTGCAAAAGTTAAACATTGGGAGAGCCTTTACAAGGTTCGTTTCTGAGATGTATGTGTTCAAAACCACTTTTTCACTTGTCCATGTTAGGCGCTGTTGATGTTCGCGTTCAGATGATTTCAAATGCGGTGTCGATCGGTAGGTACATGGAAGCTTCAGGCACAAAGCTGTCGCTAGTGGAAGATGATATAGGATGTTTTGGAGACACTTTGGCAGAAACAATGGCTGTATTGGGCGCAATGGTTTCAATACCCATTTTCTTTGCCCAGTTCACGTTGCTAAACGTTGCAGTTTTAGATTGACTTTCGCGAATCGCTTGTAGAAAATCGAATAGTGGTTAATTCTGGTGTTGATCCTGAATTGGACAGAGGTTGGCGATGTTAGAAATTCATTTTACGCATTTAGCTCTTCTTTCGCTTGTACCTGTAGTGTTCTATTTTTACCCATACTTTAGCAAAAGAGCTCTACCGACGGCTGCCTGGAATTCTCACACAAGTTGCACAAGACGAATCCAAGCGTCTGCAGGCTGACACATGTTCGGTGGCATATGTACCAATGATAGGCTATTTGCTAGCAGTGCCGTACGACTTCAATGTGGACCAGTTTGATGAGTACGATTTCACTGAGATTACTTACTAACAATTCTGCCCTTTTATCTTCGATCGTCTGGGAAGTCCAATCAGCGCGTTCATCTTACGGACCCTTATGCCGTTCGTGGGTAAATGAGCTGTAGCTTGACTCGGCGCAGTTCGGCGACGGGGGGAGGGGCGTTTTGCACTTTCGCTGCTTCACCAGTTCCGCTTTACAAATCTTGTTTTGGTGAAACCTGCGAACTCTTGTGAAGCTGGAGCAAGCTCGTCGAGTCACCATGGTAAACTGTATTTGTATGGTGTTTCATTGTTTTACAAGAGTTGACAGATCTCTACGAACTTTGCCTGGGGTCATTCGTAGCTCCATATTTGTCACCACTTGATGGCTCGATGCGTCGATAGGAAGTAGCGAAATTGCAAAATGTCCCCTCTATCCCAATCGCCGAACTGCGCCTTTGTTTCCTTGACCAGGAACGAGAAACAAGGAAGTGGGGCCGATAATTGGCATGCTTCCCAAGGAAGACCTTGAACGATTTCCAGCCTCTACAAGTTCTAATGGGTCCCTACGCGCCCACATTTTTTAGTTTCCAAGCGGAAGTAAAAAGGGAAGAGGGATTGTCCGAGAATATGGCTGTTATTCGACATCCTTGCCATATTAATCTTACATTTTTATACTTCCTTATCTTTTCAATTAGCTACCATCTGTTCCGGAGCAGAAGCCGCCCGTACATTTACAGACTTCGTGTGGGTGCTGGTAACGTTTCGTGTTTCTTGCAATTTGAACACCTAGCAGCTTTCGAGCTGTGAGCGTGGGCACCATTACCTACGATTTGAGAAGGCCCTAATAGGGGGGGGCCTGTAAGCCTATAATCTAGAGGAGGGGCATTTAAAGGTACTTTGTGCAAAACCGGGATTAAAGTAATGAAGGTGTTTGCCCGGAATTTGTTCGCCAGCGCAGGAGATCTTTGTTTGTTAGGTGCGGCTTATACCCCAAAAAGTGGATTTACTGGTTGTTTCTGTTCAACTGTTTTATTAGCTGCTATGAGTTTAGCCTTCAAGTGATCTTACTCGACCGATATATACGATTGAAATCGTTTGAAGAGAGCAAACGAATGAGGGAGCTCGATGAGGAACTGGGCGATGTGAAAATGAAAATAATAGATAAAGAAACTACCATTACCATCAGGTGAGTTGAGTGGTCATTCATTGGTAAACCCTTAGCTTACAAGAATTCTTCAACCGGGTTTCCTCTCGCAGCGAGGGTTCAAGTGTAATTATTTTCATCGTATCTTCTGCTCAGCATTTGAAGGAGGAAAATAAAGCGAACGGGGTGAGAGAAGAAAGAAGGAGACAGGGACAAAAGGGAAACGGGAAGGCTTTGCGGTTGAGCAGATAATCTTGAGACCCGAATCGTTTGTTGCTGTTTAACGCAATTAATTGAGTAAGCTGTGTACTCCAAATGTGTAGTTTTAAGGCAGCTTCCGAGTTCACATTAGTTTACTAGCAGTCATGATTATGGATATCAGAGTTTCTCCATTACAACGGCTTAGAAATTCGTCTTGCTTCGGGCACGACGTACCTCTAGAAGCTTTTGTAGTGTTTTTTCAAAAATCCTGATGAAAATGTGCTGTCAACTAATTGCTCCCTCTTAGGATGTCATCGTTGATATTGTCGCGTTCGGCGATGCTTCTTGGAGTTGAACGTGTTGCTTCTTCGCTGGATGCGGCAATTTCTCTTGCACTGACAGCAAGGCAGCTAGGGTGAGACTGCTGTCAATAGTTTTGCAGAGTTGATGAATTGTGTGGTACGCCAATATGCTAAAAAATAATTCTCAATTTTAATGTGAACTGTGTCCCAAGTTTGTCGAAGAATCCGATCATCGATGGCAAACTCTGTGGTATCACTCCACTGTCGAGCTTTTGTTACAGAGCCAACTTCGTTAGCGATACTGTCAGGTGAGAAGACAGTGAAGCTATAAGGCCCACTAGCGCCAAATATTCGGTGTGACTGTATTTGTTCGCTAGCGGATGACTGTTAGGCGTGAGTCACGCGGCCGTTCACCACTGCGACTTGATGGAAGCATGTCAACGATAGTAGTGGAAACTTGACACTAAAGATATGATGCAGTAATGTCGAAGAAAAGAAAAAATTATTTGGCGCACGCCAAACGCAGCCGCGCTGGCACTCCTCAGAATACGCTGCGTACGAGACTATACGATTCCAAACGCTCTGTAGCTGCTGGGCTGCTTACATATGACAACGCTTTGCAGCTTCTGGTGCGTGATTCTAACAAGCAATCCAAGTGTTCACACGGGCCAAATGCTCGGCAAGAGTATTACCCTGACAAACAGCGTAGTTTTAGAATATGCATCTCATGAATCTCATTTGCAAAGGTTGGCAGTTTTGAGAATGTCCCTTAAAATCGGCGACCATTGGTTGGGAGGAAGTAGCACACGCTGGCGCGACGAAGTTCGCTCCTCGTTCAGGAACGAAGTCCCGCGAACTCTGGTGCAGGTGCATCATCATCGGCATGGGTGATGGCAACTGTCAGTACCCGCCCCCCCCGTCCCTCCTTCCTAAGTTCTCACTGCTTCGGGATTAGCCTCATTCGCAGCCATCATATCGATCGTGCCCAAGATTTCTCCTCGGAATCTTTGTCTCGTCGAATTGTCGCGGGGGCTGGACAAGAATTCCAGCGGCGCCAAGCCCAAGTTGAGGTATACAGGCGCGTGAAAAGTAGTATAAATCAGCAATCTGCGAAATCGAGTCTCGAGGACCACCAGGTAACCCATTCCTCCGCTCTCACCTAGCATTCAAATGCGACCCCCCCCGCCGGCCTGAGGAACTTTGTACAACCAATGAGCACACTGTCCTGGTGATCTTTACTGTTTAACGCTGACTTTGAACTCTGTGCTGTTATAGATGAGCTTGAGAGGAGAGAGGACCACAAACTTGGTAAGAGCGTAGCGGAGCGCTCATACACTGGGATTGGTGGTCCTGCCATCGCGTTGCCAGTCCAAACCAAGGTAGCGGCCGAAGTCGACTCTATTCAGAATTTTAAATGGCCTTGTAGAATTCATTTAGCACAAAGAACATCAAAGAACGTGAAAGGCATGAAATCTGGCCTCGCGGTCGACGACAAGTTCTTTGATATTCAGCTTTGATACTCTTTCAGGTGGGATTACTTGTTTTTCTCGCACATATTGGAAGCTTCGTTCCTGCGGAAGTAGCTCACATAGGGATGGTGAAGCGAATATTTTCGAGAATATATACGGTGGATTCAGTGCTCGATGGCATGAGTACTTTTGCTAGCGATTTAAATCAGGTTATATTCACTTTTCTCATATTTTGAATACACCATTAGTGACTGCTTCAAGGTTTCGATTGCGTTGCGACGAGGCAACGAGCGTTCTCTTGTCATTATTGACGAATTCGGAAAAGGAACAATGACCGTGGGTTTTTCGAACGACTTTGCGGTTTCTACATTCCGAAGATTCAGGGTGTTGATGTTTCCTTGATATTTTTGATTATTTTCGTTGATATTCAAATCTTTTCAATTATATCTACAAAGGTGTTGGGGAAAAATACTGCTCAGTTCAGTCTTTTGTTTCTTTTGTTATTAAAAATACTCTTTATCCAATTGAAGGATTACAGGAAGTTGGCCTCTCGTTGCTAGCGTCGACTATATCTTACTGGGCTGCGAAGGGACAAACCGGCTGCCCTCATGTTTTCGTTTCATCCCACTTTCATGCTCTGCCAAACTTTGTAACTGATGAACAGGATGTCGTCTCTTACCATGTAAGAGTGTTTAGACCGTTGAAGAGCATAACTTTTTTTAACCAATGCGGTGGAGTTTAGACAATGGAAGTGCGTTGTCGAGGAGCAGAACTTGATTTTCAATATCGACTTGTTGACGGTGTGGTGGATTCATCATACGCAGCATACATAGCCTGCAAAATGGGAATACCATATGATGTTGGAGACCGTGCAAAGCAGGTACGCATTGTTTTTCTAAAGTGAAGCCAGTTCAGACTTCGCGATGACGCGCATCGACACGCGTTGACGAGTTTCAATGCGCTATCATTGCGATGGCGCTCTTTTACAGACGGATATCGATCGCCGCCGGTCGCCTTTGTTGAGATAGAATAGGGAAAGAGAGTCTGGTACTCTCCTATTCTTCTATACCCTCTCAAAACAGAGCTGCCAGCGTGAACGCGTCGACGCGTGTCATCGCGAAGTCTGAACGCTGCCTTACTTCTCGGTCGCGATGATATAATCGTTATCGCGGGGTGACGTTCACAGCATCCACCACGACCGAACCCACTCGATATGGTAATAGCGCTACCCATCTACTCTATACCCCAAGTCAACCCGTACTGCGATGCCACAACCGGGAAGTAGCGCTTCTTACCTCCCCGACACCCTTTTCGCCTTGCACCTCGTTGGCAACTAGTTGTCGACGTCTGACATATTAGCGTGAAGGTTGCATGTGCTATTGTTGTTGAAATACATCCTTATTTATGTGGATGTTTATCGGGACTAAGTCAAAATTAGTAAGCACGGCTGTGCTTTATATTAGCGAGTAACTTATCAGTACTCGCGTGTTCTCCACTGTCCTTTAGCGCTGACTCTCCGCTTCCTTTTCGTAGGGTCCAGCCTCTATGTTGCGTTGTTTTCACATATAGAGAGTTGTTTTGTGTCCCATATTATTTTGAACCCCTTGTAATCCTGTATTTAA